TGTCAGTAGTTCGGGAGCTCGGGTTTTCAGGCACCTCAATACCAAAGCCACTTTGGCACTCAAGTACCAAATTGCCACGTAGTCGACTCTAGAAGCTTCTCCGCGGACTCCAAACCTCCTGGGATCATGCCGTGTAACAGCAGGCCTTGTCCTCTCCCCGCCCGGATTGGAAAGTAATGATAAACTTCATTGACTGATACGTTACTCTCCTTCTAAAGTGGAACGAATCCCAACTATGCGAGCCGAGGATCCTGGAGCCGTTTCGTGAGACCTACGACAGCTCAACTATATAAGGGCATCAACCCCCAAGACCTAGGTACATGCGATTAAGTGCATTCTAACTCTCTCATTTCTTAAGCTTTCAACTCACATATTATAGTTACTGACTTAAGTATCAAAGCGACCTTACTGGGTTAGTCACCCCAAGTTCTCCGATCCCCCTTTTCTTTGCAATTTAAGCAATATACTTGACAACAAATGTCCAAATTGCCCTACAGCCAGAAGCATCCAGATCACACACAATCATTAATGTTATTGGATGCACAACAGAAAAATGCGCACTATATGGACTAAGGACGGATTCTCTTTGGCCTACCACCCCCGAGCCCCGACACAATCATCCACATTCCTGATTTTATTCACTCTCACACTCTCTGCCTCTCTGCCAGTAGCCACCTTCCACCCTGTCGTATGGTTAAAAGGAAAGTATTGTATGTCTCATCACTCCCATCATTCAAATATCCTTACTATATATAAGATCGATTGTTACAAATTTTGTCAAGTTAATATGATGAACTCAATTTTGGATTTACGCTATCAACTCCTTGTAATTACATTTATATATAAGAACTTTTACAAAAGATGAACAAGTAATCTTTTTAAAAGAGATTATATTTGGCCTAGGAACTCTGGTAGATAAGTAAAAAAATGAATTCTTCAAAAGAAGATTTTAAAAATTGGACCGGAAACAGAACTGTTAACAGACCGTTCATTCTGATTTAAAAAAAAAAATAAAAAAAATTAAAATTAAAAAATGCCATAAACTATTGTGTAAGTTAATGGGTCAATAATTCACTACTCAGATCAATGGATTGTTGATCAAATCAACAGTTTTTAGACCAAAAACAGTTTTAAAATAAAACAAAACCAGTTACCTAACTGATTTCTGGATCAACCGGTCCATGGTTCCTTTCTGGTTTCAAAACCATATTTCAAAACATATCCATTACTTGTGTTTTTTTTTTTTTTGGGTGAGAGGTCTTCTGGACACTTCTCCCAGTTTCCAGTTATAACAATTATATATTTTTATTTATGTTTTATTATTATGGTCTTTTTGGATGGAGCAATGGGATTAAGACACATGTGCAACTCTAGTACTGGCAATTCAGTCTTAATCCCAACTACTTTTGTTCATTAGGACCAAGCCAAACACATACATGTACCAATATATATGCCATCTGCTGCATGTCCCCCACCCTCCAACAAGCCGGGCCTTCACGTAAAGCTATGTTTCGCTGCAATGCAAATAAATTTGTACTGATATAAAATCATGACAGTATAAATAATTTGAGTGTAAATTTTGAGCTATTTTTGTTTTAAATTTTAGTTTATCTTATTTGATTGTAGTACAAATGAAATAAATTAAGACATGAAACAGAATAAAGTAAAATCTATTCAACAATCAACACCAAAGCCGGCCTGCCTTCCTTGTATTAATTAATGTTAATATATAGTTAATCCAATTTGTGACCAAGTTGATTAGTCTCAGTTTGGAAAGAGAATATGTTCAATGCAAAATCGTGTACTTTGTATTGTACATATTTGTATTTCTAATTAGGGGTGGCCAGGAGCTGAATTCCTCACGAGCTATTCGAGTTTGGCTTGTGAAAAGTTCGGTTTGACTTCGCTTCAACTGAGTTTTGACCCGAGCTCGAGCCCAATTTATAGGTTTGTTTATTAATTGAACCAAGTTTGAGCCTAATAAAATTTGGCTCGTGAGGCTCGCGAGCCGAACTCAAATAGTTACATAATAATAATAATAATAATAATAATAATAATAATAATAATAATAATAATAATAATAATAATAATAATAATAATAATATAAAATTACAGAAAATAATATATAATAAAAATATTATATATAATTTATTTTTATATATAATAATAACTAAATATTATAATTCTTAAATTTTTAAATATCAAATAAAAAATATTTTTATATATAATTTGTTATTTTTATTAAACATTTTTCTCAAATCGAGCTTGAGCCGAGCTGAGCTCGAGCTCAAGATTCTAACTTGAACTGAGCTCGAGCTCAAGCTCAAGGTTCTAGCTCGAACCGAGCTTGAGCCTCGTACTACCTTGGCAAGCTGAGCTCGAATAGGTAGCTATCTAGCTCAGCTCTGCTCAAATCCATTCCTACCTCTAAATCTTATACATTACCCACTTTTGAAAGATTAATTTCCATTAAGGCTATTAATGATACCTAAAAATTCGAGATCCAGTTTGATTATTTCAGATTTGAATGATGTATTTATATAATTGGATTGGATTCAGATGTTACAATCTATATTTGATTAATAATTGGAACAGATTCAGATTTGATCCCTTTCGATCTGGTTAAAATCCAAATCCAGTTTTATTATAATATTTGTTGATTTTAATATATAAATTTTATATAATTATATTTAAAATTATAAAAATATATATAATAAATTAAATATATTATAATTACATTAATTTATTATATATAAAAGTTGAAAAGTAATTAAGTTTTTAATTATTCAGATATTTTACAAAATTAAAACAGTATTAAATCCCAATCCGATCAAAGTCTGTTAAGATTTGAATTTGAATATAAAGTCTTCAAATTCAATCGAATTTCGGATTGGACTCAGATGCAGATTTTCTGAATCCAATCCGATTACAGCCAATTTCCATTCCTCAGGTAAAACCACCGTGATTCAGGTGGGCGGAGCACATGCACACGGATTACAATACAAAGCTCATAAAAGGGACGAGTCTAGATTTCCTCATAAAATCCTTCTCACACCCAGCTCACAATACTTGCAGCTATATATGCATTGGAAACATATCCTATAAATGAAGAGGAAATTTGAAATCCTAACTCCTAATCATGGTTTTAAAAACCGGACGAAATAGAATCATTTTGATCACTGATTCATGAGCCAAACGGTCCATCTGATCATCCAGTCCTAAGTCCCGTTATATGGTTTTAAGCAGGGGTGCTCACGGTTCGGTGAACCGTGGGGCATTTTTCGGATTCAAATCAGTATTATTGGTTTTTGGAAAATTAGTAATCGGAACCGAATCAAAATTAGTTGGTTAACCGGTTGACCAGTTTGGTTAATCATCGGTTTGGTTTATCGATTTTTTAGTTTTTTTATTTTACAATATATTATAAAAATATATAAAAATATAATAAAAATTATAAATATATATATATAATACTATATTTTCAATAATAAATAATATATTATAAATATATATTTATATATAATGCATATTTATTAATTTATAATATATAAAAAATATATAATATATATAATATACATAAATATATATAAATATAAAAATATATGTATATTGGTCGGTTTGGTTAACCACCAGTTTTCTATATTGGTTAACCGAAACCAAACCGGTACTTTTGGTTTTTTAGAAACACCGAACCGACCAGTTCAATTAACTGATTTTTCGGTTCAGTTTCCGTCAATTTTTTTGATCGGTTCGGTTTTTTGATTTATTTTTGCTCATCCTTAATTTTTAGGTCTAAAACTGGACCCATAACCATGACCGATTCTTGGGTCAATCGTCCAACCATCTGGTCCGGTTTTCAAAACAATGGTCCTAACTCCTAAGGGACTCTGGACTTGCTAATCATTGCTCACACATCATGTTGGCTAGACAACTACAGCGATACATTCTGGTCAGCGAATTATAGACAACTACAATGTTCATGTGGTTTGGTTAGACAATTTTTGCAAATTGAACGAGTACCACTGGTTTTTCCATTTTTCTAAACCGAAATTAAACTGGTATCATCGATTAATCGGTTCATCGGTTTTGGATTTTGATCAATTCGGTTTTTCGGTTTATAATATATATTATATAAATATATAATATTATATTATAAATAATAAATGCTATATAATATATTATAAATATTATAAAAATATATAATATAATTATAAATAGATTATTATAAATATAATATATGTATATATTTATATATATAAAAAATATATATTTATATATAATATATAAAAAATATGTGACGTATATTAAAAAAAATATATATATATATATATATAATACACATATAATGATATAAATATATATACTGATCGGTTCCATTAAACGCTGGTTTTTTTTAGGTTAACCAAAAACTAAACTGATTATTCGGTTTTTCAAAAGTATCAAACCGAAACCGAACCGATCTTTCATTTAACCACATTTCCGAATCGTTTTTTCCCCTAGTCACAAAGCACTAATGACGTGCAATTAAGTGGTACAGTTTTAGTGCACTAGAATCATATGCCTTGCATTGCTTTGCTTTCACACCTGTTAGGTCGTGTTTGGCATGGCTGTATTTTAGATTTTCCCTTGTGTTTGTACCTGTTTTTATCTGTTTTTATGGTAAAGGAATTGTAACACGTGGGGGAATTTGAGACAATACACTTAAAAAATAAATAAAAACTTGTTAAGGTGGGTAATAAAATGAAGATTAATTTCTCTTTTTTTTTTCATTGGATTTTGAGTGATTGGGGGTGTCTTAGCATTTATTATTGTTTTAAGTGCATAGATGCCTCTGGGCTCCATTAAACACACCATGTATATAAGACACCTTACGTGGAAACTCTATTGGGCCCTGGGGGAAATAATTTTTCAAAGTTTCCTCCAACACTTCTATACTCATAATTCTATATATATGCAAATGGTAGCACAAATGCTTTTACTTGATTTACCCAGCCAAACAGGATGTCTACAAGGTAATAGTCCCCAATCCCCATTAGTATTTTCAAGTTTCCTCCAATATCTCTTCAAATTAATAGTCTGCATTAATTCATTCAGGTCCTTTTTAGAATACTTTCCTTTTCTTTTTGCCCTCTCTCCCTCTACTCTATAGATCTGAACTCTTGATCAGTCTCATCTCGCTCTCATGTCATCTACAACGACTCTTTAACTGAGAAAACCCCAAGTGATTTCCCTGATGAACGCGTGTTCTTCTTTTCCACCACACATTCTTATCTTTTGGTTCCTTGTCGTGCATCGTGATGATCATCCATGGAGGCACTCCTACCTTTTCTCTTCTCTATAAATAGGTGCTTTGTTGTGCCAGCTTCAGGATGGAGCGACTCATCCTTTCAAGTTTCAAGTGCTGCTCCCTTCTCTCCTGTAAGTTTACATATTTATTTCTGCTTATATTAGCTCATATTGGTGGTGTGCCGCCTGTTTCAAACTGATGCATGCTCTCAACTTTGAAAAGATCCACAGATCCTCAATTTATTACCATTTTTCTCATCTTATTATTCATTGTTATATTCTGCTTTTCTGGCTCCTCTATATTATCTACTTTTGTCGGGAGAACGAGATACTGTTTAATAATTAAGAGGAATGCTAAAAGAATGCTTCACATTGTTTGTTGATGTAAGTTCTGTTCTTCTTGGATATTTATTATTAAGTGCAGTTATATAACAAAAACTCACATCGTAAGACCGAGTAGTCCGGAAGCTTTCTTAGCTCTCCTTGCGTAATCAGATGACCAGACGCTGATACAAGTGCTGCGCTTTGCTCAACTTACCACGTGGCAATCCTTCTTACCCATTCAGCTAGCCAATGATGACGTTGTTTCAGCAGTATACGATCCATAACCATGCCCCGAGATATACTCTCGACATGGTGTGTTTTACATCTACTATCTATATGTTTGGCATCGATGCAGAAAACGGTGCTGTATATATGTGGATTGGAAGCACCGCTTTCTAAAGCAACGATGTCTTTTTTTTGTTTGGAAACGCTGCTGTTAGTTAGAACGGTTATTGGAGCAACAGAAATACTTCTGAAGTCCATATCACTACTATATCATATCTTTATTGGTAGAGATGAGCTCCAAATTTAGAAAATGTCCAATTTGATATTTTCTCATATCACTCCTCAATTTTCCAGACATGATTTAGAGTACCAAATCATGATATATCACTATTTTCTGGAGCATCAAACATATTACTATTTTCTGGAGCACTAATTTTACTAATATATATATCACTGTTTTTAGTGCAATGACATATCAAACATCACCCTACAATATCCCACTGCCCACAGTACATCCCCCGTGTATTCAAAATATCTTTCGATGATAACATCATTATTTTTTATTTTATCATCGGAAAATGTTTCTAATACACGGCGACGGCGAGAATGTACCGTGAAACGTTGTGAGAGACAATCTTACCGAGGGCTGATTTGATCTTATCTGGTCGGGGCTGTAGATTAATGATAAGATTCTATGCATTTAAATAGATGGGTCCGCGTCTTCAGTGAGATTTATCCCATCAGCTTTAATTTCGGTGTTCCTTGTTATATCGCCTTTTTCTTTGAAAGAAGATTAGACAGTCTTCTGTCTATTTACCCCTTGTAAACACGTAAAGGCCATCTGGGCTTATGCAAGGATCATTTATTAAATGGCTATCCGGATTCCTAATACAGCCATTAATGGCTATTGGGAATTGGGACCGTGTGTTGGGGCCCTGGGACCAGGTCCGAACTGATAATGTGTTCGGTAACGAATGGTTGGTTTCGTTTTAGAGTTGTTTTTGTTTTGCAAAAACGAAATCATTATTCATAACAAGCTTTTATGTCTAATAGAAATATTTACATTTGCAATGGTGATAAAAACAGGAAAATCTGTAATGCGGGAAAGACATGGTTACCGGTACAACTTTGTCCAATCGAAAACCCACCGGATTATTGTGTACCAACTTTTTATGACACCGGTTGATTTGTTATAAGTTTCTCTGGTATTGATCTAAAAAAGAAAAGAAGTGCCCCAATTTCACACACTATTTACTTCAACATTTTTTTCTTCTACTTAAATTATACACATCCATCCATTAATTCAGTTTCCGGAAACTGTCAGGAAACTGCCATGAAACCAGAAATGCATGTAGGCCATGTTTAGTTTAACTCTTATTTTTAATTTTTTTATTCTTATCTAAAATAAAATTCTTATATGGAAATACTGCTATTTAAATCAAACATTTATCTTAAAAAATGAATCCTTTTCAAACTGACAAGTGTCTTATGTTTTTTATCTTCATTCTTAAAAAAAAGTATTAAGATCATAAACTGTCTGCTAATTCTCTAAAATTGTCGGCATAGATGTTTATTGATGGATGGTAGGTGGTCAATGTCCATTAGCATAAGTTTTCATTTTAATCCACCAGTAAACATTTATGGTGATAGGTTAAAAAGTTAACCTATTTTTAAAAAGTCAATCCACCAATAAACATTTATGGTAGGTGGTCAATGTCCATTTGCCCTTTATTGATATTATTTTTAAAAAGTTAATATATTTTTGAAATTTTTTTGCAGTTCATGATCATTCTTCCCATTCTTGACAAGAATTTTATAATCAGACATTCTAATATTATTCATTCTTCCCATTCTTATCTAGAATGAGCAAGAATTAAAAAAAATAAGGCGTAAAGCAACAATGGCATAAAAGCTACAACATTTTCATGATCGAAGATATGATTAAAAAAGAAAAGGGTTTCTAGCATATAAGGGTAACTTTTGGGGTTTAATATCAATAAAAATAATATATTTAAAAATTTTCAAAAATAGGTTAACTTTTTAAAAATAATATCAATAAAGGGCAAAAACACTGTTCATCTTCTTATTCTTGCCATTTATTCACTAGAGCTGTCATCCGCCGTCATTCGCCACCATCGTCCACTGCTACCCGCTGCCGCCTCTGCCCACCTCCACCTCCACCCTGCCGCCACCTCTGCCTCCGGCCACTTCCAGCAACATTGCCGGAGGTAGAGGCGGAGGTGGGCGGAGGCAGAGGCGGCGGCGAGCGGCAGCAGACGACGGTGGCGGGTGGCGGCGGACGGCAGCGGACGGTGGCTCTAGTGAACAAGGCAAGAAGAAGAAGATGAATAGTGTTTTTGCCTTTTATTGATATTATTTTTAAAAAATTAACCTATTTTTGAAATTTTTTTAAATATATTAATTTTATTGATATTAAACCCCAAAATTTGCCCTTACATACTATTAACGTAACCTGTATTTATGATGCTTTCTTTTTTACTACTCTTTTAGTCTCAAGCTTCTCTCTCTAATGCCCCTTCTTTCACCCCCCTCTCTCCCTCCTGCTTCTTTGTCTACAGCCACTCAAGATGGACGTAGATCCACCATTTGAAGAGCACTACAAGAGCCTCTTCGAGAAGTCCATTGGCAAAACAAGAATCAACGATATTTTTGAAGAACTCGAGCTCCCTTTGATCGACCTGAGCCGTCTGAATGACGCCAAACCAGGCAGAGAAAAGTGCGAAAGAGAAATCGCTGAAGCTGCAGAGAAGTGGGGTTTCTTTCAGGCTGTGAATCACGGGATACCTCGTGAGATTTTGGAAAAGCTGCACCGTGAGCAGCTGAAACTGTTCGAACAGCCGTTTGCCAAGAAGGCTGGCGGAAAGCTCTTCAACTTTTCTGTGGACAGTTATCGTTGGGGGGCACCTTCAGCAACCTGTCTTCGGCAATTCTCGTGGTCAGAAGCCTTCCATATTCCTCTGACCGATATTCCGGATTCGGGTGAATTCAACAGTCTCAGGTACGTGTATATTTATTATAGACTGCATTCTTTTACACGTAAAGGGCAGGGATCTGCTATCAATAAAACGCTTCCAACACTGTCTATGAGGTGGGTGTGAATACCATTTCCTTGAAAAAAATGGTATTAAGTAGGATAATAAATCATTTTCTTACGTAATGATATTCGATAAAAAATGAAAAATTTTCCTCATTTTTTTTCTGTTGTTTCGCTTAACATGGAAAACCAAACCCGAATGGTTAAGAAATATGTAGGTCTATAGGATGTTATCGAAAGGACCAAGTTCTACCTAAAGAATGCTTTGAAGAAAATTAGAAGTCAAGCCATTTTTTTAATTACAACTAAATCTGTTGAAAAAAAATTGTCTTCCACATCATTTTACGTGAAATACTGTAATGAAGACAATTCATTTTTGAGCATCAAATGAAGCCAAATCAATGGTTTCCTTTTCAATATATACTGCACCTTCTATGTATGGGTAAAGGGTTCAACTATGATATCTGAGATTTTTTTGACCGATCAAAACTAGTTTCATATACATGGTAGCCAATCAGGTGTTATTTATCAAAATTCATAGATGGGTTTTGATCATCGGTCAAAACTCTTCCAATACCATGTTTTCTCCAACAAGCCATTGCATTAGATAGGAACCAGATTTTCTCAAAACCAAAAATTTTCCCAACACATTCCAACTAGATAATCTGTATCTGCATATCACATACATGATGAGTCCCAGTCTCATGGTGAGATGTGTGGACACAGATCATGTTAGAACCGTTTTGGGGCAGTTTTTGTTGTGATCAGATCCCATCGCCATTAGATGCATGTATGACTTCAATGGCATGTTGGGATCAAATCTGGATTTGTAATATAGATATTGGCTATTAGAAATTAAAAATGTTTAAATACACTAGTGTTAGCGGTTTGGTTAGCATGAGCTACTGTAAGTCTAGACCGTCTAGTGGTAATGAGTCATGGCTTCAAAGGGTAGATTATTCAGGCGAGGTATTGCTCAAGTATGAACATATCACTCCTTTATTGTAAAACCTTATGGTTATGATCCCCTCAAGGAGGGTGAGATCTAATCCTACATTTACTTACAACTCTAAACTTATGCTTAGAGATAAAAAAAAAAAGTATGGATAGAAGCAGTAAGAAATGATTTAAGTATTATTAATTTAATAGTGGATGTGGTTTTAAATAAAATTGATTTATTTATGTAACTGACCCATATATCGTTGGGAATTGGGATAAGTCATGGACGGTGATGATACTCTTTCTTAGGCTTCAAAAATAAAAAAGATGACACTCTTTCTTTATATTTAATTTTCAATCACACCATTAATATCGTCAATGGAAAAATTTTTACCCAAAAGTTCAGATCTACCATCTTCATCATCATATAAGAGATGAAATGGGTCTATGACAAGTAAGATTTGATCTCAAATCTCGACTACAACCAGCGTATTTACCAATTGAGCCACCAATTGGCCAGAGACTTGTTCGGATTCACATGCTCGTAATTGAACTGGACTATGCTAACTAGCAAGGATTGTAGGACTTGGTTTGAACATGGTTTGGTTGGTTAGAAGTTTATTAATTATGCCTGTTTGCTTCGACAGAAAATAAGTGAACTTTCCATCATCACTCTTATTTTCATCAAACCAAACACAATCTAAAAAAAGGTGTAGATTTAATTATACTGCTTAATATACAGAAATGCATATGATGAATATGCTAATAAAAAGAAAAATAAATGAAAGTACTGACCTTTCCGCATTATGGTGCATAACAATTAAATACTCTAGTTCATGTCTACATTATATCCCAATGGTGGAAGAGTATGTGTTATGTAATTAGTTGTATATCATCTTTTATATATATATATATAAGAGAAATATTGCCATTTGGTAAAAAGGAAGATTACAAAAATTACAAGTAAATATAAAATCATTTTGGCTATCGGTTTTTAGGTTGACGGTTCGATCGTTTGGGTCGAATGGACGGCCCATTTTGATAACAAATATTACAGGCAAAAAATGAGTGTGTGAGGTCCATTAAGCAGTACCATACGTGTTATGCCATTCGAGCGTGTGACTCATACAACCCGAAAACAGAACCGTTTTGGCTACTAGTTTTCGGGTTGACGGTTTGACTATCCGGTTTGAACGGACGAACCGTTTTGACAACAAAAAATTATGGAACCATTTTGCCCACCGGTTTTTGGGTCGACGGTTCAACCACTTAAGTCAATGGGTTGTTGACCGATTCAATGATTTTTGGCCAGGGACCGGGATTGGGATAAAACGGAACCGGTTGCCTAGACGGTTCCCAATTAAAAAAAATGGTCAAAAACCATTGAATGGGTCAACGGGTCAACCGCTTGGGTCAATGGGTCGTTAACCGATTCAACAGTTTTTGGCTAGGGACCGGGGTTAGGGCAAAATGAAACCGGTTTTCTAGATGGTTTCCAAGCCAAAATGCCCGGTCAACGGCGGTTCGGAAGCCATGGTTTTTAGGCTTTTGGATTTTTACTATTCAAAGGTTTCTTATACTGTGGGCTTTATTCGAGCGTGCACGGTATATTCCTTTTTTTTTTCATTTTCTACTTTAGTTTTTTTGTCTTTGGTATTCTTCTTCAAAATCCTCCAAAACGGCATAGGGTTTACCACCATTTTATTTCTTCCCTTTTGTTTTTTCTTTGGGTTTTCTTGTGCAATTTTTCTTTTAATTTTCTTACAAAACAATATGCTTTGTCTCTTTCTTTGCTTGCACTTATGTTTAACTCCGCCACTCCGCCTTATAGTGGAACTTTGGACTCGATTTTTTTATTTTTTTCCTTGGTTTTTCCAATTTGGTGGATTTACCACCAATTTTTCCTGTGTTTAAGGTCACATTGGATTTATGTTTCAAGGTTTTAGAATCCCTTGCAATGTCCACCCTTTCCATGACTATGACTACAAAGTTATTTCGTCTAATTATTGACATTTAGAAAAAACGGCTCAGAAACGGAACCGTTCTAGCCACCGGTTTCCAGGTCGATAGTTCGATCATCCAGTTCGAACGGATAGCCTGTTCTAACAACAAAAACTTAAAAATAAAAAATGGCCAAAAACCGTTGAACGAGTCGACGGTTCGATCGCTCAGGTCAACGGGTCATTGACCGATTCAACAATTTTGGGCTAGGGACTAGGTTTGGGGTAAAACAGAATTGATTACCTGAACGTTTCCCGGGCCGAACGGTCCTACTGTTTAGGTCAACTGGGAGTTCTCGATGTGAAACAAAGGACAACTATGAAGTAGAACTCAAAACTATCATTGTATGATCGTGTTCTTTTATATAAGATGCAATATTTAAAAAACGAGCACATGATGATCTCTTTTAAGCCTTTATATGAGTTTTAAGACTTGAGTACTTGTAATTGCGAGTTTCTTAATAAGAAACCATTATCTTTTTTAATGTAGCGAATAGCAATGCTACAATTTCATTCCAGCCCCTGCGAAACCACTAGTATATGATATATGATATTTGGATTTAACTTTTATGATTTGCATGGAAATCAAATCTAAGTATTCCCCTTTATACATTATTAATATAGTAACCCGCATGCAAATAAAGAAGGATAAAGATATAAGGGTCCGTTTAATTTGCAGATGGAATTGGAATTGAAATCCCTTAAAATGAGAATGAGAATAATTTATTCCCATAGCTTATTTGGTTGAAATGAAAATCAGAATTGGAATTAAAATTAGCTGAAATAGAATCTCATTTTCAAGGGGAAAGACCATTTCCTCGAATGGGAGAATACCATTCCACCACAAATAAGAATAGGATTCGGATTCCAAACCCCTATTCCCATGAATCAAACAGTCCTTTATAACCTTCATCAAAACCGATGCGAATTTCCTTTTATATAATATAGATTAATGTTCTGGTCTTTCTTATTGCTATATATCAAGCATCAAAGCTTCGAATTTACGTTTAAAGCTAGAAAAGATTTCAGATTCATCACCCGAGAGTAGCGGCTCCATCATTTTCCACTCTAAACTCTAAATTAATTGGGTCAAATAGCTAGCTAGTTGATTAGCTAACTCGATTGTTTTCCAGATGGGTAAATGCAGAATGTGTGGAGCCCAAAAATCATAGATATTGGTAATTCCAATACTTGAATTATTGAACCCTCACCCTGACAAAAACGATATAAGACCCAAAACATATGGACCCTTTCCGTCCTTAAAAGTTCAGAAAGTGATTTGATAATGGATATACCAGGTATCACACTGCATCACCCTATTGAACCTCAGTTCAAATCAGCCCCTCACGATATTGTCCCCCACAACATATTTCCGTCGTGTATTAAGAGCATCTTTCGAGGATGACATCGTTATTTATGAGATTATCAACAGAAAATGTTTCTAATAGACGGCGGGATGTGCTGTGGAATATTATGGGAAAAAATCTTCTGGGGGCTGATTAGGTCTCCTGGTCAACATTCCGTAAACTGAAAAGTGACAGCTCCACGTGAATGCCATGTGCCTGACCCAGTCTATGCATGTGCTTGACCAGCACCGCCCCCTCCTCCATGCTCCAGTCCACGGGTGTAAATTGATCCGATCCTTTTGGTCGCATTCGGATCACTCCTGTTCGAATCGTGGGATAAGATGATCCGATATATATAAATAATATGCATGTATTATATATATTTATAAATATATTATATTGTATTTTTATAAATTTATTATATTATCTAATTTTTTATAAAAATGCATATATATATAATGAAAATAATTAAAAAATAATTATATTTTTTATTTTTCTATATTTAAATTGGTGTATTTTATTTTTATTTTAATAATTTATTAATTTTTATAAAAAATAAGTTGGATTGGATCAGATCCAAAGATCCGATTTACCGATAAGATTTGAATTCAAATTGATGCCTATTAGATCCAATCGAATTTTCAAATAGGATTGGATCTGAATGAATAGTCAGATTGGATTTAGATAATACCCTTATTCGAATCCGATACTATCTGTTTGCATCCCTACTCTGGTATCCCCTAGTCCTTGTGTTAGAGTACTTAAGCAGTTGCTATTAAACCTATTCATGGGTTAGGTCGGGCTGAGTTTCACCTTTGTATTAATAAAATATATTCAGGCCCAAGCCCAAACTTGAATCTGGCCAAAAAATTGAAAAAGATTTTTTCTTTTTTTATTCAATAAAAAGTGATTTTATTTATTTAAAATTTTCTGTCCATGCCCAATTTAGATCGGGCTGGGCCAAGCTAGTCTATCCGGTTACCCAGCCCATAAACAAGTCTAATTGCTGCGTACAACTTTATTTCCACTTAATTTTCAGATTGAGCACCATGTGTCTTATTTGTATGGGTTAGAGGGTTCCTCTCTTTAAGTGGCTTTGTCTCATCTTAGGAGTTTGAAAGATATTTTCACTCATTTCGATATTTTCCTCTTTTCCCATATCTCAATTTTGAAAAGAAATATAAATATACTACACCGAACGGGGGTAATACGTCCCCAAAAGTCGGCAAACCTTCCCATATCTCTGTTCGTCGCTCTCCCTCTCTCTCTGGAGAGAAAAAAAACCTAGACCATCAAAGAATTAATAACGGTGATTAAATGCCTGTCATATATTATTGTTAAAATGAGATTTTCCCAGCGTTTATTACAATGAAACTAGCCCATCTGTCCTGATAGTTCCGTTGCCTGTCCGGGCTAGCAAGCCAGGCCTGGGCGGGTTCGCATCCGCCTCCCACAGGTTTGCCCCCCAAAAACATCCCACGGATTCACAGCGCGCCTTAGACTCTCTCGTGCAGAGCTAACCCACTTCGCCCAAAAGGTCATCCCCTCTCAGACTTTCACTCCTCTCTCTTTCTCTCTTGAATTTCAACCTCACTTGAACCTTCGACCTTTCGTTCTCAGAACGTCCCCCTTCGAGTTCCGCCAGTCAACGCAGATATCCTCCGGCGGCGTCGACTGGAACGATCGTCGGCGTCGACTGGCGGAACTCGAAGGGGGCAAGCTCCGGCGGGTTTCAGTACTGAGAACGGAAGGTCGAAGGTTAAAGTGAGGATGAAATTCGAGAGAGAGAGAAAGAGGAGTGAGAGTCTGAGAGGGGATGACCTTTTGGGCGAAGTGGGTTAGCTCCGCACGAGAGAGTCTAATTCGCGTGTGGAAGGACACGCGGCACGCTGTGAATCCGTAGGATGTTCTTAGGGGTGTGGGGAGCGGATGCGAACCCGGCCTGGGCTTATTAATTCACCCTTATGTTATATAACACAAGGGTATATAATATCATAATTGGGGGTGTTAAAAGTTTTAACTTACGGGAAAAACACGGACAGGCTTAATGCAAAGTTATAAATATTTAGAAGGTCCAAAAATCATATTCTATGCATCATATGTATCCGTGAATTGACATCAATTCTAAGTTGGTACCTATCTCAAATGTACTTTGAACTTATAAATTCTGACCCTGAAGTTATCAGTCATTCTTTCTTTAATTTATATTTAAAATAAATTTACTATGAAATAAAAATTTGTGGGGTGAATTTTAGTAAGATTTTCTCAACAAAGGCCCAAGCTCAACCAATGTATCCAAAAGTGCGGCCCAAGCCCATATTTAATAGATTAAATGATTAATAGTAATAATACCATGTATTTCTGTTGTATCTCAACTATATTCTACTTTTTGTTTTTTCTAAACACTGATTTGATGATAGAGGGCTGGGCTATTTATCAAGATTGAACACACCAGTATTTAGTACAGATGGGGCAGTCAGTGAACACATAGCCGAGCCCGGTGTTCACAATTTTGTCTCCAGTTCATCCGGACTGAGGTGGAACTATACAGTTGATCAATGAACAGGCGAAATGCGTATTACATAAAATTTATACTGTTTCCGATGTGTGGTTCTGGTTCATTTTTCTACCTTTTGTCTTCCAGTTCAACCATTAAAGAATACGAGGCAACAGTTTCAGCATTGGCGCAAAGTATAGCAGCAACTCTAGCAGAGAATTTGGGTGTTGAATCCAATTTCTTTGTGGAAAATTGCTTGCGTAGCACTTGTTATCTTCGCTTGAACAGATATCCTCCATGCCCGATCTCTGCTGAGATCTTTGGGTTGATTCCACATACGGACAGTGACTTCCTCACAATTTTGTATCAAGATCAAATTGGAGGACTGCAGCTACTGAAAGATGGGAGATGGATCACTGTAAAACCCAATCCGGAAGCTCTAATTATTAATATTGGTGACTTATTTGAGGTACTCCAATTCGCTTTCATTACTGTAATACTGAATATCATCCAATCCCAGCTGTTGAACCCAGATGTTCTTGCGATGCAGGCGTGGAGTAATGGTCTTTATAAGAGTGTCCAGCACCGAGTCATGGCGAACAGACAAGTGGAACGATTCTCTGTAGCGTATTTCTTCTGTCCATCCTACGATTCCGTGATAAAAAGTTGCAGAGAGCCTTCAGTTTACAGAAAGTTTAGCTTTAGAGAATATCGACAGCAGGTTCAAGAGGACGTCCGGACAGTAGGATACAAGATCGGGCTTTCCAGGTTTCTCCTTCGAAGCTAGTGCACTTCAACAAGAGCGGAAATGGAATAAGCATTGTCAATGGACGAAAAGTGTATACAGTTGATGGATCAGACGACATTCTGGGAATGTTTGGATTCGGGGTTTTCTTTATTTCCTTCATGCTTATTGATTAATTTGAGTTCACAGCATTTTCTTGCAACCCCCGATTAACCCTCAGATGGAAGGGTTTATTCTGCTTCCAACCATACTTCGTAGTTCTTACCTTTGGCCAACTCTACACAGCGCTTAACTCTAGCTAGTAGATAGGCGCAACAACAAAATGGAGCGTGGAATTTTCAAACAAAAAAAGAAAAAAAGAAATGAAACATAGAATGGTTTAGTCTGAAACAGGTTGGCGAGTCACCCTGGTCCAACGTGGCCAAAGAGGTGATTACGTGGCAGATTAGAACCATCAGCCTAAAAGATCAGATCTTAAGGCTGTGTTTGGTTGCAGTGCAATTTTATTTGCACCAGTATAAATGTATGAGCGTGCAAATGTAAAAAATGCAAATTCTGATTTAATTTTATTTTGAATATTATTTTATTATGTTTTATGTCTTAATTTACTTCATTTGTATTGCAATCAAACAAAATAAGCTAAAATTTGAAACAAAAATAAGTTAGAGTTTACATTCAAATCATTTACACTGCCATTGTTGTGCATCAGTGCAAATTTACTTGCATTGCAACCAAACAGAGCCCAAATATCTCAAGAATCCAATTCTCCCGTTAGCCAGCTGTTCCCCAACAATTTCTGTCTACATTTTGCAAAACAGACTTGTAAAATTTTGGCTGATGTGGCAATTTATGAATGAATCCAAACATTAGAGGTGAAGTACAAATCAGATAATAAAAAATTTACACTTATTTATAACTCAATCCCCCTCAGATTTTTTGATTGGTTTCCAAATACATGTTATACCCCCGAGAAAAAACCATTCGATCCTTTTAAATTATAGGTACTATCACCTTTAACGGTGGATGATGAATCCATGCTTTCTCGTTTTTGTCAAAATAACGATGAGGTAGCTTTAAATCCACATGAAAAAGTGATAGTGCTTACAATTTTTTTTTGGAGAAGTACGAGATTTGCCTAATGCAGATTTTTGATTTACACTGTAGAGTTATAAATATTCATAATGACTACAACCCACACTCTATGCATCAACACCCGCCCATGATTTATCATCAATTTCGATCTAGCACCTACCCCGATAGTGCTTTGAGCCTACAAATTCTGACCCTGAGCTGATCGGTCATTCTCCCATTTTTTTGTTGGTATTGGGTGCCATGCACCATTAATAACGTCCCCCTGATGCCCCCTTGTTCTCCCTGGTTATGGATCCGATTCCGAACTCTATGAATGCATTAGGATTTATGAGGGGATTGAATAGGGATGATTATTTGGTTTATTTGGTTAAAAACCAAATTGAATAAATCAAAATTTTTAAAAGCAAATTAAAAAATAAAACCAAACCGAAATCGAATTATAAAAAGGCTGAAATAACCAATACCGAAATTTAATAATGTCTATACTATATTATATATGTTATTATAATATTTATTATGAAAGTAAATTTTATTAGATTATATATTAATATATAAATAATATAATATATTATACATTATACCTTACATATTATATATTTTATATTACATCTATATATATAGTAAGACTTATTTTTTTTAACTCCGCATAAATTACCCAATAAACCAATAAGAAAAATAACATAAACTTAACTATTTCTAACAACCATAAAGAAAAAGGGATTTGCTTTTCTAATGTTTAGCCAAGTGGTACAACTTTCCCCCACTTTCTCCTAAATTGTCTCTTATACCAATTTATCTCCTAAATTATCTCTAACTCCTATTTATCTCTTAAATTATCTCTAATTTAGTAGAGATATTCCCTTCTAAACTATCTCTAAATCCTATTTATCCTCTCCCCCACTTTTTATTTACATATATCTCAAGAAAGTTTCAATTAAAAAATTCATTTAAATATGATAACAAAATTATATACTAACTTAAAAATATTTATTTAAAACACAAAAATTAATTATAATAGGTTTAACAATATTCATATTATTAACAATTATATATTTTTACAAAATTCATCATGAAATTATATAGTAACAATATAAATTATAGTTTTACAAATTATTCAATTTAAATGTTATTCAAATAATATAAATTTAACAATAAAAAATAAAACATTATTTAAATATTTCAATAACTAAATATCTTAAATAACAAAACATTAAAAATATCTAAATAATTATATAGCAAAATATTTAATATTACATAATAACATTAAAATAAATAAAATTTAAATAATAAAAATTATAAACATTTTACATATTATTTAAATGTTTAACATGACTTAATTTTAAATAGTTAAAATAATGAAATTATGTAATAAATTTTAAAAAATTCTTAAAAGTAGAAAAATAATTATTATAGATTTCATAATATTCATATTAATAACAATCAATAATTATAATTTTATGGATTATTAAATTCAATAAACAATCAATAATTTAAAATTTTAAATAACAATGTTATTTAGATAACTAAATAATATTGTAAATAACTAATGTCACTTATATCAAGAAAATAATATTTATTAGTAATAATTTTACATTAATAATGTATATTCATTATATATTTATATATAGACTAAAATTAATATTTATTTTGTTTTCAGTAATTATTTATTGTATTTTTTGATAAATATGTTTTCAATAATTATTTATAAATCTATTTTTGTTTTTACTATTTAATAGTAAATTGTCAACAATTATTGGAGATTTATTTTTAGTAATTATGTATTTTTTATAATTTATTGATTAATATTTATTAGATATTAAACTATTATTTTATATTACACTATTTATTGACTAATTTAATATATTTTTAGTATTTATTGTATTTTTGTAATTATTGTATTTTTGTTAGTTATCTATTGTATTTTCATTATAAATTTATTTTCAATAATGATGTATTTTTGCTATAAACTTTCAATAATTATTGGAGATTAAACTAATCTTATTTATTAGAGATTAGACTATTAATTTAGTTGAAATTTGGAGTGTCTAAGAATTGGTTTAGTTCGGTTGCATGCTGTTGTGCCAACCAAATCGACCTATTTAGGTTGGGAGTTTGTCTCCTGAAACAGATTGACCATTAGTGAAAACTCAACAACTGGGTTGTATCAATTTTCGTATATTTTCGGTTTGGTTTGTTTGTTCAAAAGATTTAAACTTAAAAGTTAAATTTAAATTTAATAAATTATAGTGGTATTATTAAAAAATAAATTAGAAAAATTAAATTTATGATATAAAATACTTTAGACTAAGAAATATGGGAATTCTCCCACTTTCTTGTATTAAACATTTATATTTAAAATATAAAATTTTAATATATATCTATGGTTGGGTCTGTTTATAAATGGCCAAATTAAAATTGACCTAACTTGGTCGAGTTGGAAAATTGCTAGACAAAAGCCGACCAGAAATACTAGAAAACTGACCAATTCGGGTCAAGTTAGATCAGATTGGTTATTTAAAAGTTAAAATATAAAACAATTATACAATCCTATGTATTTCTATCGTTTAACTTTCGCTTAACAAAGCCCATGGATCGCAGAGGTCCCCACTAGTTATTACATATAGATTACATCAAGATGTAGGTCTAAAGGTTCTAGAAGAAATAACCAAGAAAAGAACCTTTGTTTTGGAAGCAAGGGTGCTCATAAAAAACCGACAATCCAAACCAAACTATTAAAAACTCAGTTAATCAAATGGATCAGTTCAATATTTTTTAAAAACTGAAAGATTAGTTCAATTTTTGATTAACCTAAAAAAGCCGACAGTTAACCAAACCAACTGTTTATTATTTATAATATAATATATTATATATATTTTATAAAAACAAGTCAAAAACTGAAACCAAATGATTTGGAACAATTTTAGTTTGAGAATTTTGCCCACAGTTTAGTCGTAGTATCCCTATTTGAAGGTAAGGTTTATAGGTATTCAATGGTGTATATCATTTGTGCTAGTATGCAATGCACTAGAATATATATATCTACAAGGACACTAACTAAGATCCAAGTACATCATATTGATGTTTCCCCCTAATCCCTGGTTTATGTTTTTAGTAAAAATATCGCCTTAATCAGATATTGTACATCTTTATATACAAACATGCTACTTATCAAAAATAAAGAAAATATAGTTAATATCATGTTTCATATGTGTACGATTTTTTTCAATCTTTTCTAACTCTTATGTTTCCTTTTCTTTCCCCTAATTCTCACTGGTGATGGACTGGTGTTTATAGAACCATTTTTTTAAGGCAAGAATCATATTTCATTCAAACTAAGAAACTTGTATGAATACAGGAAAATAATTACAATATTAAACAAAAAAGCGCAGATACAAATCCTTAGAAAGAACAAAATATAGACTATGGATAAAGGAGAACAAAAAAAAAATTCTGCAACCGACATAAGGTGAAGCAGAATCACCAACAAAAGAAACAATTGAGCGCATCTCCAACCACTGAAAGTTAGGGATAATAGCAACTTGCACCAAGAAACTAGAGCCACCCGGAATTGTAACCACCAAAACTATACCTGTCGGAACTGTAACTATCTGGAATTGTAACCGTTAGAACTGTAACCGCTGGTGAAATACACTCTAGAAAATATCCATTGATGGTAAAAGCCAAAGAAGCGATGAAGGCCACAGCCCAACACCAAAATCTTCAAGGAAGAGTCAGCCTCTTGTATCAAAATCCTTGCATAAAAGAATAGAAAGAAAAAAAATAAAAGATAAAGGAGAAGAATGAGTGAGAGGAAAGACCAAGAAGTGGAACAAGAAAATCAAAAAGGAGTGTTGATTTAGCTCTAGCTATATATTTGTGCTATATATATGTCTTGTTGACAATTTTAGGAGTGTTGTCTAACTGAAGTGCATGCTTTTGTTTTTCAAAATAAAAATAAGTGCAGCATCAAGCAAAAACAATTTGTTCATTGCTTCGTTTTTGTTTTATTTAAGACTAAGGCTAATAGGTGTTTAGATAAGCTTCTACTTTTGAGCGACTCTGGATCTCCTGCCCATGAGAACTTTGCCCACGT